AACTGAAGTTGATCTAAATATCCTAAATGCTAAATAAACTCTAAATACATATGGTCATGACATATATTTCAGCACAGTGAGTGAGGAGTGTTGCTTTGATATTAATTGACAAAAAACAAAATCCAGACTTATTCAAAATTCAAAAATACTTTATTAATCCCAAAGGGAAATTAAATGAAAAAATATATATATTATAGAATAGTTGACAAGAGTTGTTTGCTCTTGTCACAAAAGATAACAAAAAGAAAATTAATTTCTAAACAAGTTTTTCCAAATGTTCTCAACAGTACAGACTGCTTTCAATCTTTTCTTATATGAACACAAGCACAAAAACGTTCAAAAATAATTTCATTGGCTATTGCATTGATTATAATAATAAATTATAAATCTAACTTGAACTACTCTGATGCACACAGACCTGTTAAAGGCTTTGCCTGTGTTTACATGGGTGTGATACTTCAACTCATCACCTGACACAACATGCTCTGCTTCCATTAGTATTAATAAAGTGCATTGTGTGTGCAGGAAGTCACTGCTGTCATTAAAAATGGATAGAGCAGCATCTCTGCCTGCAGCTGTCTGTGTTGTTGTTTTTCCCCTTCATTGGATTTAGTCCTATCTTTTTTTTCCTTGTCGCTTATTTTACACTGTGTGTGTGTGTGTGTGTGTGTGTGTGTGTGTGTGTGTGTGTGTGTGTGTGTGTGTGTGTGTGTGTGTGTGTGTGTGTGTGTGTGTGTGTGTGTGTGTGTGTGTGTGTGTGTGTGTGTGTGTGGGAGGGGGGGGGGTCGTATACTTACCACACATTTGCATCTGATGCATTTTCCTGGTAGTAGAGTAATGTCAGTGTTACGGTTTTTACCACACCTGGGAATCATAAAGCAAAAATAACCACACAGCATTTCCATTAACTGTGTAGATGCCACCTTGAGGTGTCACCATGAGGCATCGTGTAACCACCATCTAATGTGAAAATTAGCTTTTTATGATTCTTGAAATTGACAAAAAGATCCTTGAACAAAATTGAGGCCAAAAAAACACAAGGCACTAGTCACTTGGGATTTTGCCCACAAGGGATTTAATTCATAATTAAAACATAATAATATATCTAATCTTTTCATTGACAAAATAAATAATTGTTTAAAAAAATGAGAAGGGAGCTCACGTCATAAAATGTCATAAAAATATTTGGAACATTACACATTCCCCCTAACATTCCTCCGTTTGACCTTTTGAATACTTAAGTGCATGGATGGATGGATGGATGGATGGATGGATGGATGGATGGATGGATGGATGGATGGATGGATGGATGGATGGATGGATGGATGGGATGGTGGATGGATGGATGGATGGATGGATGGATGGATGGATGGATGGATGCCTTAGTAAGGCATCAGTTCGGAAAAAATATTTTAGAGAATAAAAAATACCAGACAAAACATCAACATGTGAAGTGAATATTTAATGTTGTGCCCTCATTTTTTTTCTCAACTATACTGTTTATTTTCAACTGTGTGTACAGGTCCAAGAGCATTTTTGAAGAAACTAAATTCTGTAGTATTCACTTCTCGATTTTTTCCACACTCCACCTTTTTACTGCTCTCACGTTTTCAATTTGAATGTATTTCTAAATATTTTGAAATCTCTAAGTAACATGTAGCTGTCCTACATCTTAAGAGTTTTTAATCCAAATGTTGCACCTGTTCTTGATATTTTTGCAACACAGCATCAACATGTGTTCCTGAGTCTGTGAGGTCAGAGAATACTGAAGAGCTTGGTGTTTATTCACAGGAGTCATTGCCATGTAATGTCGGGGAGTCAGCTGTGAAAGGTGTGACATAAAGTGTGATTTTGGTGTTTAAAGTGGAAAAAATCACACATTTCCCTGTGGTAACACCTGTCGGTGAAGACAGCTAACGCTGACAAAGCCAAAGTTCATGATCTGCCCTTTCAGAAACAGACCAAAAGAGGCGGTGCATGTGGCAATAATGTGATACTGCAATGCAGATAGAGCACAAAATAACATAATAACATGCATACGGATATGACTGGACACAGGTCCATATTTAACAGTGAGCAGGGTGGTACAGAAGAAAAAGATAAAAATCTCAGAGCTCACTGTTAGAAGATAGTACAAACAGGTGGCATGTTGGAGATCACCAGATCTTGAAAACAGCTGTTAGTTACTTATCCACATGCTAACTCGCCGTTCAGGAGGCAAAGAAAAACTTCTGTCCTTCCATCAGGACAGTTTGCTAAAATTTGCCGGGACTTTAACCAAAAAAGTGTTTTTAGTTAGGGTAAGGTTGAACTTTGTTGAACATGTTGATCAGAAATGCATATCCACTGTTAAGCAGGGTGGAGAATGTGTGATGCTGTGGGCCTGTTTCTGTTCAAAATGCCCTGTGGACCTCGTTGGAACATAGAGGTATGAAGACTTAGAAATAGCAAAGACTTCAAAACAGAAACTTTTAACATAACTGTGGTCCTAAACAGATGATCAAATGAAGTAGAGACAAAATTGACCTTCTTTCATGGCCAGTTCTTGGATTCACCCAGATGTTCCTGGGTGGAGAGTTGGAGAGAAAAGGGAGGAGCCAGGAGTTGTGAATATATACATTTGACCATTTCACCATATCTTTTATTCTACCCTTGTGCATCTCAAATATCTTGTGCTAGATCAACATTGCTGAATAACCTGAGAGCCCTGATAAAATCTGCTTTCTGATTCAATCCAGAAGCACAGAGAAGACAGTAACATAACTACAAAAAGGGCTGATATCTGACTTGTAAAACTTTGTTTGCACCTATATGAACATCACAAGCTGGATATCTGCTCAAACCTGAGTGCTGATACCCATAGTAACCATATGTGTGAGAGTACGACTGGATATTGAAGTGTCTGCACTACAAAAGTACAAATTTTATATTTCAATTTCCCTGGAATTGAAATGTCATCATTAAATTCACTCAGAAATCTCAATATCCAGTCTTGGTAAAACATAAAAGGTGTGGATAATCACAATTGAATGTAATGTCTAAAGGAATCCTCTTCATCTCCTGATACACACATGCACACAACCCCACTGTACCCCTGTGCAGGACCCCCTTCACCTCCTGTCAGCTGCCTTCACTGTCAGAGGGACGGCCCTCACTGTCTGATCGCATTCCCTCCATCTACAACAGCTGCAGCGTCTACAAGCTTTGTTTTTCAGGTGAAATAAATGCTCTGAGCTGGACTCTACTTACATTTTTAATAATATCTCGAGCTTATTGCTCTAACAAAAGAATTGTCCAGTCAAATATTGGCCTAATGGAAATCTGAAGTGGAATAAAGCTAAATAATACAACACTTTCTTGCTTTTTCTTTCATTTTAATGTGGTTGATATGGTAGGAAATGTGCTAATTCAGTCATTTTGCATTAAAAATGTGTAAAAATCTTTGACATTATTCATCAACGATGACACCCGCATAATCTCACACAGGCAATTATAGAACAATGTGGTGGAATATCCTCAATGTGGTGGAATATCCTCAAAAATAGAAACACAATCTTTTCACATACAGTCACATTCAATAAATTAAAATATTCACCAAAAGTTTATTTCATGAGTGAAACACACTATACTGATTAATTACACACAAACTGATGTTTTCTGTTATGATGACCATACAGTTTACTGCTAATGAAACACAGATTACGATTAAAATATATGCGCAACCTACAGGTGGCACAGGTTGCACCAATCAATAGTAGCCACACATGCACATCGGCTACAGAGAAACAAACGCACCCAGTACAACACTTTCATTCTACTGGCTGAGAGGTTGCCAGGCACGGTGCATTTTGTTCCAGAAGCAAGCAGAAAATGTTTCGTAAGTGAGCAGAGTGTGAGCAGAGGCTATGTCTGAGCGTAAGAAAGAACTTCATGTTTTTCTTCCCAAAGGAAAAACATGAAGTCCTGCTTTCAAAATAAAAATGTAAGCTAAAGTATTAAAAGTTTTGAGAGCAAAATAAATTAAATCATGCTTTCAGATTGAAAATGTGTGCTCTCAAATTATTGCAGTAAAATTCCCCCATAATTCCCTGATAGTTAAGACTTAAAGCAATGTGAATGTGAGAAATATGCAGGTCCACAGCATCATAGCTCCTCCTCTGTGCTCAACAAAGGGCACAAGGGGCTTTTCCACATTTTCTTTGTTTCACACAAAATCCTCTTGCAATTATTGTTGCAGAAAAGTTCATTACCTCTTATCTAACCAAAGTTTCTGGTTCCAAGTGAAGTCTATATAAAGGTTGGGAAGTTTCATGCATTTTTGTTTGTGATGGTAGGAAGGAAAAGTCTTTTTTTGTGGCATTTCTCCCAATCACTTTAAATGTAAATGACATCTAGCATTTGGTTTGGACATCTGGTGACCAAAAGATGATAATCTTTGATGAAGTTCTCTCACACTGGAGATTGTTTATTATTATTGTTGTTATTATTATTATTGAAATATATTACTTCACTTCCCAATCTGACAACCCAGATAGCTGAAAAGATAAATATAGATTCTCTTCCAGCCTTATGGTCAGTAGCTAAAACAAATACATTTCTGTTTCACATGGTGTTCTTCTTCAGGAACAGAAAATCCTATGAGTAAATTGAAAAGGAGAGACTGAAAAAAATTTACATTTATATTTCTGCAATAAAGGCTAAACTTTATTTAAGGCGTTTTACATATGACTACCTGCATGGCCAATAAATGTGAGCGGCCCTGTAAGGCCTATGGGTAACTCCAACTTCTTTTAATTATGATCTCTGCTAAGTCTGAACTTGGAGATCTGCGCTGCCACCTTGTGGCTGTTTCATAAAACAACAGTTTAAAAAGAATGGGATTGTGGCAATTCTGTTTTCAGTTCAAAACTGAGAACATAAGCGTTTGAAGCTTGACCAAAACGTTGTCACTTCAGAGCGATAACTAACAATATGAAGTATAAACTACAGACAACTTCATATAGTGTGAAACTGGTTGGTTTATTTGCCTTTCTTAGCCTTGCCCTTGCCTTTGCCCTTCCCCTTTTTGCCCTTTTTGCCCTTCTTGGCCTTGCTCTTCAAGGCCTTGCGGACAATGTGCCCTCTCCAATAAGCCTGGATGGTGAGAGCAGCTTTGGTCTTCTGCTCCAGCTTCCGCATCTCCTCCTGTCTCTTCTCTTCTGCCACACGCCTCTTCTCCTGGATCTCAATGTACTTCTCCTCTAGGATAGAATAGGGTTCCTGCAGCTTCCTCACCTCCTCCAACTCCATTTCATAATTCTTTTCCATCAGTTCCAGCTTGGTCTGAGGCAAATGTGAAAGGATGTGAAAGAACGGAGAAGTGATGTGTATTTTTAAAAGCCTCTCAGAGGAAGCACTGGCCTATTTTTAAGGTCTATGAGAACATTTATCAAAAAAGTATCATTATCAGGTTAACTGTGTTTACAGGCCTTCAAACTGGAGGATTTGAATATAATTTATTGTTAAAAAAACAGACATTTTTATATCTGGAAAACTTTGGCACTTAACAGCAGCTGATTTGTTTGAGTTTACCTGAATTTCATGCATGTCCCTGTCAAAGGTTTGTAAAATGTTTTCAGTTTCTCTCTTCAAACCGTCATTTTCCTGTCACAAAAATAAAGAAACGGCGTCAGCTACAGTGCATTTAAAAGGTGTTTATATCCCCTGAATTTTTTCCTAACAGCTAATTTTTAATATATTTAATTTAATTTAATGTGATACTCCAACACAAAGTGCGTCATCATACTGAAGTAGAAGGAAAGAAGCAAATAAGAAGCAAACATTTGCAATCTCTTAAATCTTTTGGGTTATGTGACTAAACCCATCGATAATTTTTTTGACTGGACAGTTCAAACACACATACTTAATCCTGTCCATCGTCTCACTAAGTTTGATCAGCTTCTCTCTGCCTTCTGAAGAAAAACATTCCTGCATGATGCAACCAACGCCATGACTTTCTGTTCCTTTACAAATACCTTTTGAGGCAAAAGAAGTTATATTTCGGTCTCATCTGACCAGATTACCTTCTATCTTTGTTATGCTCCTACATGAAATGCAGAAATCCCATCAGAAATTTGATTTCTAATTACTTTCTTTCCATAGCTATTTTTCTTGCTAGCAAATTCTCCCACCTGAGCTGTTGATGTCTGCAGCTCCTCCATAGTTATGATGGCACTCTAGGCTTCGTTTTTAATTATTTTAATTATTTTTTAAATTATTTAATTAGGTTTATTTTCCTTCGCTGACGTAAATTTAGTCTTTGTGGATTTACGTTGCTAAACTTTTTTATTGAAAGATATACTTAATGGTGATCTTTGACATTTGGGAGAATATCTTTTATTCTAACTCTGCTTTGAACCTCTCTAGAACGTCACCTCTGATTTATCTGCATTTTTTCTTCAACTGAACTGGTTGGATAATTTGTTTAACCAGATTTCATTCAGAAGTAACAGAGAAGAGTGCCTCTATCAGATTTTTGTATAAAAAAATGTAAAAAGCATACATTATGTCCTCTCCACTTTACATTGTTGCACAATAGTGTTGGCCCACATAGTTTGTGGATGCAACAGTAAAAACGTCCACAAACTTTTTCTGCAAACTCACTTCCTGTAGAATTCTCTCTGCCTTTCTGTTTTCAGACATTAAGGTGAGGAGCTCCTGGTTCAGTTGGTCTCTTTTTTCTGTGAGATCCTTTTTCTCAGCACTTAATACAGTCAAATGTAGCTTCTCCTGTTCCTCTTGGAGAATCAACTCCTGCTCAGCTTGCATATGTTGCTCTTTTATATATCTCTCCAGGTTCTTTATCTCACGGTCCTTCTGCAAGATCTGCAGGAATGGCAAAAAGGGGCTTGAATGTGTCAAAACAAACCCTTGAAGACGAGTTGCTTACGACGTCCAGAATGATTACTCACCATTTGATCTAAGTTCTTCAAGATTGCAGCCGTGTCTTCTTCCTCTAAATTCAGTAGCTCCATAGTTTTGTCGAGAAACGAAGGCTGTTTTCTGTGGGGTACCCGCAGCTGATTATCAGCACACAACCTTTTCTCCACATAGCTGTGAAACAGCTGAAGCATTCTGATTAATACGCGCTCGTTCTTGTCTACTTCCATATTAATCTCTTCTCTTAAGCTCCAATAAACATTTGGATGGACCCTGAAAAATCTCAGCACATCTCTGACTGAGTTTTTTATCTTCTCTCTAACTTGAACTATCTCTCTCTTCTTTACTTCTTCTGTCTGTTTGTCTTTCAGCCCTTCTAGCTTCTGACATTCAAGCATCACCAGTCTTTCCACTAACACCTGATGTGCTTGAAGAAGATTACTCAAGACCTCATCCACAACACCTGACACAGCATAAAACTGGATGATGTTTCCTAGAGCTGTTGTAATCTCAACTTGACTGATGCAGTTTTTCAGTGCTCTTGAAATACATTGAGCTTCAGAAGAGAGCTTCCTGGTTGGCTTCACAGAAGAGTCTTCTGTTGTTGTTGTTGTTGTTGTTGTTATTGTTATTGTTGTTGTAGTTGTTGTTGCTTCTTCAGCAAACATGTTGCCGCTTGGTAGTATTCTACGGTTACAAGAATGAGAAACACAGATTATTAAATCATACAGTATATTACAAATATTTTTGACTGATAATTTAGGGTAACCTTTTAAAATATCCACTGATTTGAGGTATATTTGTAACTTTTCTAAATCTCCATGGAGGGCTGGCTCTAGCCTCTGGCCTGGTCACGCAAGTTTCTTAATTATATATAGGGTCACTAAATGTTTTGACTAATTTTAAATGTTTTTAATACCACCAGTAGTTGAAACAGTAGAACTCTGTGCAAATGATCTTGTTGTGATGTTTCTGTTTTGATGCTTTTGATTAGTAGGTCTTCTCATTTCAAATCTCTACAACATTGGAAGGTCATCCAGCCAAAATTATTCACACCACCGACAAATTAGGGATTAAAATTAGATTGATTCAATTACAATTGAATGTGGGAAAAAAATGTGAATTTCAAAAGTTCTAACATTTTTACCAAAATGGTGGAAGTTGAAGACGATTTGTGATCACCTCAACAATAAACTCCTGAAAGTTTAGCAGATTTTTGCTAAAAAGATTTTTGCTAAACACCTGTGGACCTGTGTTACAGTCCACAGGTTTTCAGAGGATTTATCTTTGATAATGGCCTCCAAGTGAGGTTTAAAGACATTCAATAAAGTTACCTCGGTTTAAAGACAAATTACCTCTTACTTTTCCTTCTCTTCTCTTCCTTTCTTTCTTCTGGTCTTTTTCTCTCGCCTATGTAAATCGGTCTTATGATCCAAACTCTGACAAAAGGGTGGAAAAAAAATCTATTCCTGCCGCCCGGATCGCTCCGAGGGTCAATGTTGTTTTTTTAATGTTGCTATGACGACGCTATTCTTGACTTCCGGTTTGTGATTTCGAATTAGGCTCGCTTTACACGGCTTTTATTTTTTAACTTGACCTAGACGTTTTACAAGGTTTTAAGGTCGACAACGCCATGAAAGAAAGAAAGAAAGAAGGAAGGAAAGAAAGAAAGAAAGAAAGAAAGAAAGAAAGAAAGAAAGAAAGAAAGAAAGAAAGAAAGAAAGAAAGAAAGAAAGAAAGAAAGAAAGAAAGAAAGAAAGAAAACCGGAAAAAAAGAAAAGCGAATCTCTCTTTCACAACCAGATCCAGTGCTCTGCGGCTCAATATCGTTGTTTTAAAGAGACGTCTTCTGTCAAATGATCGATTAATTTGTTTTTAAAACGTGTCAATTAAAAGCAATTAATCCTCTTCGACTTTTATTTTGAAAAATCCTCTGCCGTAAATTCCTTTAGTGTCGGGAAGTTCTGTTGTTGATCCAGGATTCCATCTATTGTTGTTTCGAGGCTCGTGATATCGTAGAGGAAAAGGGGGGAGGTTTAAAGGTGCGCCGCATGGATTAGACCGGGTGTCCAGGTGTTGCCTTCTCTTTTCGGGGACAGATGGCCCCAGCAGTTGTTGTTATGAACCAGGCAGCTTGTGAACTAATTATGATGCAGAGATGGACCCAGACAGACAGCCTCAGCTCGTTAGCCTGAGGGACAGGGAACCAGTGAATCGGTGACATATGTTTGAGTCGGTAAACAACCCCGTTTCTCTTCTCTGTCGCCGAACGTAATCCGCGCAAACGGGACATTTGACTGTAAATACGTGCACCTGTAGCGGCACAGAGTACGCAGACAGATAACTCTGTTAGCTAACAAACTACTGTTAATCCTGTTTGTTTGGGTTTTTTTCCCCCTTCTTCTTTTGCACTGAAAATGTGCGTTTGCGACACAAACTTTGTGTTTATTTAGTCACGTCTGGCCTTCATTGTGACTTTCAAAGCGGATTTGAACCTATTTATTTGTGACTATGGAGTCTGACGACGACGTGCCTCTCATTTTGACGTGGGACGAGGCAAACAGCGGACTGCTGAACGAAGAGGAGGCGGACAGAGGAGACCAAAGTAAGTCTGAGCAGTGGAGCTGCTGAAGCTGCTGTCATTGTTTGCACTTCCTGTTAGAAAATTCCCCCTATCAAAGCAAATTAAATTTTAATGCAATAGTATAGGCTTACTAGTTCTACAGTTTTGTTGTTGTTTTGTTTTTTTTGTACCAATGCTTTTGCTAAATCAAATTTCAATCGAAACCTGAAATTTGTCCGTCTTTATTCCCGTACTTTTCTAAATCTTAAAGGTTACAAACACAGTTTGCCATTCCTGAAATTTCTCAGACTTTGATTTCCTTTGTTAATTCTTAATTGATTATTGTGAAACATATTGTGAAAAATCAAGTTTTTGCATTTCCCTTTTCATTAAAAACAAAACAAACAAACAAACAAAAAAAAACTCCCAGTACTTTCAACATATTTTGGGGCACTTTCTTTAATTTAAAAGCTTTGTAATGTTATTTTTCCATTTGATTTTATATTCAAAAGAGCTACTTGTATCGAAGAACCCACAACACATTCATTATTTTATATGCTACTGTACTTTATGTTAAAGGGCAAAAGGTTTTATACCTCAAACAAAACCAAAAATCAACATTGTGAAAGAAAAGTGTGATCAATGCATTTCTAAGATGTATAGATATTATGCTTGTGTATATATATTGATCCTTGTCTGCTTACCATAATTGCTGGGATTAGGTTGGAAGCCTTCTAATGTTGCAGCTGTAAATATTCTGCAAATCCTGATCTCAACGATTAAAAAAGAAATGCAGTATATTACCCAGAAGACTTGGTGGGAAGAAATGCAGTGTTACAGTCCTCATGTTGCCTTTGTTTCCCTCACATTAACTACAAAATAACCATGTGAGAAACAGCTGGCTCAGCAGACCGCCTACTCCCCTCCCCCAGTCCCTCCCGGATGTTCCTGGGGGCCGTGTGTGTGTTGTGTTTATGAGTGTCTGCAGGGTGTCTGTGTGTGTTTTTCCTCTGAGCTCACTGGATCACTGTCTCCTGCTCAGCGGACAAACAGGAAGAAGAGGAATGTGTATTTCCTTTCAGGACATCTCGGAGTTATTTATGAGAGAGAAGTGTGAAACTTTTTGGTTTTACTTGTTGCTGCTGGAACCCTCTGGAAATAGGAGGGAGTTTGAAGGATAATGCAGTTGTATCGCCTCAGTGAGGAGTCACATGCCTGGATTCAGGAGTAGAGATAGAGCTGATCTAGAAGCGGATTTACTTTCTTCCTTTCTTTGTCTTTTTTTTTTTTTAACTGGCACTGTGGTGTCTGTTTGTGTCTCTGAGAGGCTGACTTCACTGTGTTTTTTACACGGCGCTCCAAATGTTTTATTGTTCTCAGACAAATGAGCGATCTGAATGGCTCACATACAGCCTCGGGGTCCGATGGTGTCAGGAGGACGCTCAGGCTGCTGCTGGGCCCGAAAGTGATCTTCTTCACACTTGAGCTCAATCCGCTGCGGACGGCTAACATCTGGGAGCGTATTTCTGAGACTCTTGCCTGTGTTTTGTTTGTGCGTGGGATGAGAGTGACCAGACAGGAGGGAGGAGTAAAATGTGCAGCTGCAGAGGATCACCCGCAGGAGCCGCTCATCTAAAAACAATTTGCAACTCTGGTATTATTTCAAAGAGTAAATTTACAGAAGCGTGGCATTGAGTTTTTGTCTGACTTTTTATGTCGGTTTCTGCTATAAGGCAGAATCAATTCCTCTTGTGGTGGCTGTGCATTCTGTGAGTATCCTGTTTAAATCAGGAAGGAGAAGAAATTGGCATGTCAATGCTGCACACTCAGCTTTTTCTTTTTAAATATCAGAGTTGTTGAGCTGAAACCTCAACCTCAGCTTGAGGCACATTTCATCGTGTAAATCTTAGCGCCTCTTTACGGTTATTGTTACTGTTCTCCGTTTTTCCGAGACCATGTTTTGTGTCCAGGACTGTTTAAACCTACAGGATGTTTGAGCGTCTGTGAGGATTTGTTTTGGTCTCGTGACTCGTGACTGTCTTTGGTGTTACATCAGGGAGACTGGAATGTTTCTCCATCTATATCTCCAGATGTTCTGCAGTGCTGCAATGCAATTGGTCTGCTGCTAATTACACATTTTTTTTTATTTTTTTATTTTTGGTTGGACATCAGCAACCTTGATACATTCACATAGCTTCACCAATGGCGTCCTTGTGTGGACAGGAAACTGGTTTCCATGGCGATCAGTCCTGTAACGATGAGAGTCCAGTTGCGATCTCCTCCTTTGGCTCACAGTTAGAGTCTGACTGCATTGGTAGGCCTCTACCTGTCTCTATACTGCTTATATTCAGGGTTCCTGCAAAATGTTGATATTATATTTTTTAAGGATTATTATGTAAAAAATATATATGTTTAGCATTCAAAGTGTTTGACTTTACAGACTTTCATTTCTTCTTGCAATATACAATAGTTTAAATCTATATTTGGAAGAAAAAATTTTCACATGAATACATACCTACATTTCACCAAATAACCTAAAAGTTTTTTTGTGTGTGGAATATACAACTCATTTTTAAAAGGAATTAGTGAAAGGGTCATATATTTTAAGTGTTTATTTTCTGTTTATTTGTAATTATGATGCTTCCAGCTGATGATTGTTATTCTTATTACATAAGTACAAAAAGTGAAGATTTTACATCCAGAAAGGGGATTGTACAAAGTTATGGTCTATGATGGGAAACGGTTGACTGGCGCCTCTTCCAGATCAGAAGCTAACTTCAGCATTTAGTTGTTTCATGATTTTATTAAACATACAACCAGATATTTTGAGTCTGGAATTTCAAAATGGGGAAAGTTGTTGAGACCCTTTGCATGTGTTTGTGTCAACTTATCTAAATTATATCTGCTCCACCATGCTGACACTTGAATTCCTTTATTTTTCAGATGGAGGAGGCAATTATGACGTAATGAACAATGCTGTGATTTCCACACCTGGGGCACAGAGCAACAAAACCCAAAATGTGTCTTTAAAGCAAAGCTGGGAGATGAACTACCAAGAGGCAGCCATATACCTGCAGGTATCACAAACATTTTAATGTTGCCTTACACTGGGGTTTTTGCACACACACTCACATGATCAGTCAATAGCTTTATAATTGCTCCTGGTTAAATATAATCTGCAGATGGATAAACCTTGGACTACAGGAAGTAATACATCTAGTTATAGAACCAGAAGTGTTTGCTAAGTACAAATTAAAGTGCAATAGCTCAAATATTTAATAATCAAGAAGCGTCCATCTAGAATTTGAAGCCATTAAATGCCCAATCAAATAAAAAAAAACAATTATTTTTTATGTCAAACTTTCCTTTGTCCTGTCAGATAAAGATGTTTTATTTTCTATGTTTTGAATTGATTCTTGCAGGAAGGAGAGAACAATGACAAGTTTTTCAGTCACCCTCGAAACCCAAAAGCACTGGCGGCGTACCTGTTTGCCCACAATCACCTGTTCTACATGATGGAGCTGGTGACGGGTCTGCTGCTGCTGATGCTGTCGCTGTGTGAAGCTCCCGCTGTCCCCTCGCTGCGCCTGGACGTCTATGTGAGTTTTTATCTGACATTGGACTTCTTTTAAAGTTCATCGTCTCAACTCCAGCTACCCCAAGTAACCCCAAAACTGGCTTGTGATTTTTCATACAGTGACAAAAGTCAACAACATATAAAAGGAGTTAAAATTTTGAAAACTGCGGAGTATGGTTTTTCCTCAAAGTCAAGGAAACAAAGACTTGTAATATGTCACTGAGGCCTGTTAAATTCATCATCTGGAAATGGAGAAAGACGAGCACACCTGCTAACCAACAAAGACATAACCTTCCACCTAAACTAACAGACTGGGCAAGGAAAGAATTAATCAGAAAAGCAGCTAAGATTGTAACTCTGGAGGAGCTGCAGAGATTCACAACACCAGAGAGAAACCTAATGACCCTAAACATCCAGCCAGAGTTACAATGGAACAGTTTAAAGTAAATGTATGAGTTAGAATGGCCCTTAGATCTAGAACCAATTGAGATTTAGAAACTTGATATTCACAGATAGAACTTGAACTGTTTTGCAAAGAGGAGTGAGGACAGATTTTAGTATATCGACATGCAAAGCTGGTAGACACAAATAAAATATATGCAGGCTGAAGGGAAATACAAGCCACTCTTCAGAGTTTTATTTATAAAACTATTTATCATTTTCTTGTCTTTTGACAATCATACGCTAATCCTGCTTGTTGAAGTTATTTCCTGTAGAGACAAAATTCTCCAGGGAGTTTGGATACTTTTTCAAGCATTCTTTTTGTTACTTAATTATCTGTAGAAATCAGCTTCATCGTATTCAAGCACTTCTTTAGACCCAGTTGTGTGTAAATCCTGTTGTGTGTGTGACTCGTCTGTAGGTTCATGCCACTCTGGAGCTGCTGGCTTTGCTTCTGGTGGCATTTGAGCTCTGCATGAAACTTCGCTGGCTCGGCTTCCACACCTTTATACGACACAAGAGGACCATGGTGAAGGTGCCTTGACATCTCTGATATTTTCTGTGTCTGCACTCTTCATGCATCTGTAACTGGTAAACATTTGGTTACTGCATTGTTTGTTCTGGGTCGTCTTTCTGTTGCAGGCGTGTGTGCTGCTGCTGCAGTTTGTGGAGGCCATCGTGGTTCTGATCAGACAGACATCTCACATGCGAGTGACCCGAGCTCTGAGACCGATATTCCTGGTGGACTGCAGATACTGCGGTGCTGTGCGCAGGTGGCTGATTATCTAAACGCATGCACACACACACATGCGAACATAACCACACAGGTGAAGCATTTTTATAGGATTCCAATGCAGTCTTTAAAAATGTGGAGTTTTAAAACTATTTGTAGTCTATTTTTTTCTTTCTTTCTTTGATGTGTTTTATTGAATTACGCAAGTGTGCACACTAAAAGATGTTACTGAATTCATATGTTTGATTATTGTCAATTCCTCTGCTGACAATGTATCTTTCCATCCAAACAGAAACTTGCGTCAGCTCTTCCAGTCTCTCCCATCTTTCATTGACATCCTCCTGCTCCTGCTTTTCTTCATGGTCATATTTGCCATCTTGGGTAAGAATTGGTTTTGATTTAAATTTCACCTATGCTGCTTTTTAAATGAAGGTAATAACGTGATCTGGTTTAAATTTCCTCCAGGTTTCTGTCTCTTCTCTACAAACACAGCTGACCCGGTATGTTAACTCACTGGTTTGCCTGATTGTAGTTTATAATTGTTATGCCACTGTGGTTTGATTTCTCTCTTGTTGTGCAACAAACATGCATGTGTTCACTCAGACTCTGCCCTCTCACCACAGTACTTCAGCTCTTTGGAGAACAGCCTCGTCAGCCTGTTTGTGTTGCTTACCACAGCAAAGTAAGGAGAAAATAATATTATTTGGTAACTTTTTTTTTTTCATACCTAATGTATTTTCTAATTCTTCCACAATTGCATTTTCTGAATGTTTGTAGGCTGTTTTTGATTTCGGTCGGTATGACTGAGCTTTTCTCTCGTAGTTTTCCTGATGTGATGATGCCAGCGTACTCTAAGAACCGCTGGTCCTGCGTGTTCTTCATCGTCTACCTTTCCATAGAGCTCTACTTCATCATGAACCTGGTACAACAATTTTCACTCCTTTAAAACAGATTTCACTTCCATTAACATCAAAGCAATCATGCCTTTGACAATTAGAACTTCAATACATTTTATTAAAATTTTATGATGGAGCCACATAAAGTTCAGCTTGATTCGTGAAGAGAAAGGAAGGAGCGTAATACATCAGTTACAATTTTTTACAATTAAAATCTGGAAATGAGCGTTTGTATTCAGCCCCTTTTTCTCTGAAGTAACCTGTAAGAAACAAAAAAGTTCTGTTTGTTCATTTCACCAAAGTTAGATGTTGTAGTGAAGTAGTTTGCAGTTGCAGCCCACCATACATATAGCGCCTAGCAAAACTGTTCTCACCTCTTGGAGACATTTTCTGTTGTTAAATCCACACACCTCAATGAGACCAACACAAAATAGTGCATAATTGCTTAATTAAAAAAACTAATACATTTTGTATGCATTTGTGTTCAGCCCATATTTACTTGAATGCCCCCAAATAAAGTTAAGATGTGCAAAGCTGGTAGACCTATATCTCAAGTTTTGCTGCTGCTAAAATAGATCTGGCAGTGGGATGTGCTTAATTTCACATTTTAGTTTGAAATATTAGAGTGAAGGAGGGCTCAGAAAATTGAAAACATCATTCTCCTTTCAGTTTATAATCTTTCACTACATTTCCATTGGTCTATCACATAAAATTCCAATAAAATACACAGAAGTCTGTGGTTCCAATTCGACAAAATGCAAACAGAAAAGAGTATGAATACTTCTTGCCAGGCAGCAAATAAAACAAATTAATAGGATTTTTTTTTTTCATATTCCCCACCCAGCTCCTCGCCGTTGTGTTTGACACATTTAATGACGTGGAGAAGATGAAGTTTAAGTCTCTGTTGCTTCATAAACGCTCTGCTATTGACCACGCCTTCCAGCTGCTGGTTAGCCGACAGGTATGTGGGTGGATTTTGGTACAAGGAATTTGCTTTGCTTTGTTCTCTAAGGCTCTGGGACGTTGTTGCTAACATTTAAGTGCTGTGCTGTTTTTCTTTTCCCTCCAGAGGCCGATGGGTGTGTCTCTGAAACAGTTTGATGGTTTGATGCGATTCTACAGGCCTCGAATGTCTGCAAGAGACCGTTTTCTCACATTTAAAGCTCTGAATACATCAGGGGCTCCAAAACTTAGGTAATGTCTGGCTGTTTTATTTTTTAATAAAAATGTCCTACTTTGAAATTTACCTGTTTGATTAGGTCTTTTTTTTTTGTTACAGCCTGCAAGACTTTTATAAGTTTTATGAGGTCATTGGATTAAAATGGAAGGTAATTATGTTTGTATGCTTTGTTTTATGATGAGAACAATTTTTATTTAGTGTTGCTTGTTCTCTAAATGTTTTTCAGCCGCGACGAAGTCGAGAACACTGGTTTGACGATCTTCCTCAAACAGCCTTCCTCATTTTCAAGGGTAGGTTCTCAGTTCTTGTGTAAAGAGGCAACAAAATCAATGCCATGATTCCCCATATAGTGTCTTGCAAATTTATGCACATCTTTTGAAAATGTTCCCATCTTTTTCAGTTTGCAACCTTAAATCTCAATGTTTAATTGGATTTTATGTGAAGAATTAACACAGAAAAAAAAAAAAAGTACAACTTTGAAGTGGAAAGAAAAAGATGCAATTTTGTTTTTTGTGGGGTTTTTTTACAAATAAAATACTGAGAAGATTTGGCATAAGTTTGCAGAAAAGATGAAAGTATATCACTTTTTACATCCACCAGCCCATTTACAAAGATGGCAGAAATAAGGAGTATCCCACCAGTTTCAGTTTACTTCACAACTCTGGTATTTGTACCTGCAGACTGTGACACTGGACGGTTCAAACCCAGCTCAGAAATACCCTTTATTATGTGCTTCCAATGATCTGCATCCAACACGAAGGATGCTTTAGAGATACAACTGAATGACTTCTTGATTGTCATAGCAAATGTTCAGGTATTTCAGAATAAAGGTAGATACACCAGATAGATATTTATTTATTTGTTTGCTTATTTATTTATTTTCAAATTAGCAATTTTACACAGACTGCATTGAAGTTTGTGGTCCTAACATAAAATGGCTCAAAAAGTTTAAATACTTTTGCGAGACACTTTGTATAAGCGCTTTTGTCCTCTTCAGGCATCCACCTGGTGGTGAAGTCTAAGGCCTTCCAGTACGCCATGTGTAAGTATCATCATCAACATCATCACAGCTCTCCCAGCTTTCACCTGTCCAAACTCACACACTGAAACCTTGGTGTTAATGTCTGCAGATGTGGTGGTGGCCATTAACGGTGTGTGGATCCTCGTGGAGACGTTCAGAATGAACAGTAAGACCTCTCCAGCAAACACATAGACACATCATATGAAGACATAATCCTACCTGACATCCGACCTTCCTCCGGTTCTGCAGGTGGATACTCTTGGTCTGAATCCGTTCCTGTGAGTTACATCGTTTTCCTGACGAGTGAGTAGAAATCTGCTGCGTCCTTCTCGCCGACAGACGTAGCATAGATTTAAAAACTGCACGATTGGATGTAAGGGATTGGAGCTGGCACTAATTCCTCCTCTGCTCCATCCTGGTTTTAGTTTACGGTGTGGAAGTGCTGCTGAAAATAGCGGGTTTGGGGCCATTGGCTTATTTCAGCTCCGGCTGGAACCTGTGAGTGAAACCCTGCCTGAAAAAAATCAAGCAGAAAAACTAATTGTTTTATGAATAGGTATAGAAAACATTCTGTTTCTGTGTTCCTCTGCTTTTTTCTGTCCAGGTTTGACTTCTCTGTGACTGTGTTCGCCTTCTTGGGGTTGATCGCTCTGGCTTTCAAAATGGAGCCATTCTACTTCATTGTAGTTCTTCGACCATTCCAGTTGCTCCGGTTTGTTTTCCTCGTTTTAAAATCAGGCCACGTGTTTATAGTTCATTTTATTTAGATCCACTTTTGGTTTTCAACTCAAATTTCCATGCTCCTGTTCGCCCAGACTGTTCAAGATAAAGCTGCGGTACCGCAACGTGTTGGACACCATGTTTGAGCTCTTCCCCAGGATGGCCAGTCTGGGCCTGACTTTAATCATCTTTTATTACTCCTTTGCCATAGTGGGTATGGAGTTCTTTGCAGATGTGGTTTTCCCAAACTGCTGCAAGTGAGTCTCACTGTTGTTTGAGGAACTTTACTTTTGCAAATTGGTGGATAAATATTAAAACGTCCTTTTTGCTGTACTTTTTTTATTGTCATTTTAGCACCAGCACAGTGGCAGATTCCTACAGACAGATCAACAAAACATTTGGCAACAAAACAGTGTTGGATGAAGGCTATTATTATCTCAACAATTTTAACGACATCCTCAGCAGCTTTGGTAATTCTTTCTATTATTTTTACCTTTCAGGACCTCCATGAAGTCATCAGATTTTCCTTAATTTTCTGTGGGAGTCTGACTAGAGCTACTCCATCCTCCACGGATCGCCAGAGGGCGCTGCTCTAAGCACTGAATGTTTCACTTGCGCTTGTGTCGCTCGAGTAGTAATACCAAGAAGTCACACCTGTGACACAGATTTCTCTGAACCTCAGCCAGCCCAACATCTGAGGCTCTGTTCCTCATTTTTTCTTGCGTACGCGTTTTATTTTGCATGGCATCAGCTTGGAGTTCTTGGATCATTTAGTTGTTATTGGACATTCTTGGCTGCATTGTTGGCATCGCTTGCACCTAATTCCAATCACGACTTCTGACCACTGTGTTTATTTTACACATTGTGGTAAATTTTAGCCAACTTAAGAGTTTTGGGTTGCACTTACGGTGTCAGTATGTTTTTTGTTTTTGTTTTGATTTTGTTTGTTTTCTGCTTCTGAATGTAGCTGACTATGTCGGCCTCTTGGTTTTCCACTATTTAGCAATGATCGGCGATGGTAGCAGTCATATCTCTTCTCCCTATATTTTCTGCTTGTGGTTGGACACAGCCCAGTTTTTAACTTGGATGTCTTCCACTGTTGTGCAGACTGTGGGACCGCAGCCAAAAACTCCCTGCATAAACTTCACTGTCATGTCCCCGTGCTGTGAGGGTGGCTCGGCTGGCCCAGTTGCGTCCTGAGGCTGACAATGACCTTTTAACTTCTGGGTTGGTGGCCCCACCTACAGGCACTTAAAGCGCTGGAATGAGGCCACGGTCACTGTGGCTCCTTCTAGGAAGAGGCAAGCTAAGTCTGACCAGCTCTTTCCACAAGAGTTGAGCAATTGTCTGCAGATATAAAATCCCTTTTTCATGCACGCCAGATGGATACTTCAATGACTGAGTTCTCTTCTCCACCCTTGGCTGTGGAGGAGGATGTGTCTCTGGCTGCTTCTGCCTCTCACTTTAAGAGTGAGGAGACAGTGTTTCAGAGACAGGGTCATTCTCCTGATCTCAGAGTGCAGCTAGTGTCAGGTGACAGCTCTATGTATGGCCTTGAGGCAGCTAGTTTTGACTGCAGTGAAGGTGACAGCAATCATCAACGATGAACGTGTGCTTCTCCTTCCTCAAAGTCATCTTGGAGAAGTTTCCTGATTCCATCTAAGACAAACACTTTTCTTGGGGTAAATTTGGATTCAGCCTCCATGAAGACTTGTTCATCTGTTTGAAGGATGAACAGAATACTCCAAACGGTTAGTCAGTTCTGGCTGGGTCAGGCAGTTTCCCGATGTCATCTTCTTACAGCTGCTGGGCTGTCTGATGTCAGTCACTCTGGTTGGGCCCTTAAGTCTGATGTCACTGCACCCTTTACAGTGACACTGCATGCAGAACACTGCATTTGTGTCTAAAATGTTATTAGATTGTCATTGTTGTGCCTGAAGTCTTATCACATTCTCATTGTAAGCAGCCATCAAAATTGGCAAAGTTTTGATCTGAGTAAGGAGTGGCCGGGAATGGATTTTGGTTCTGCTGGAAACAATATGTGCTGCTCCGTCATGGGCTTTTCCCAAACACGTTCACCAGATTTTACGATGTCAGTGTGGTCACCCTCATCCTCTGAGCCAGGTTCTTCTGTAAGCGTCCTCTGGGCGTTCTCGGTGAGGTATGTGCTCAGGATTCCTTGCAACATTGCTGGTATTAGTCATTCAGTGCTTTCAGCTCTCCCTTCTGGCGGTCATCAAGGATTTATAGAACCATAGTTGCATGTATAACTTTTGTTTTATGTTGCATCTTTGAGCACATGAGGAGACATAACTTGTTAGTCTTTTGAGATGGTTTTTCTAATACTAAAATATTTAGTTATCTAAAAAATACAAACTACTGGTATAAGAAATTGCTTATAAAACACTGGTTTAAAAAAATGAAGAATTAAGAAAACTGAAATAAAATATGTTTCTATGAATGTAAATATGAATGAATAAATGGTTCCTTATGCAAATGTGTCTTATATCAAAAATAGCATTTTGAAGGCAATAGTCGTATGATCTGTAAGTTGGCTTTAAAAAACCGAAACATAACTTTTTCCCTGCAGTGACGCTGTTTGAGCTGACAGTGGTCAACAACTGGTACATCACCATGGTAAGGTTTAGTCATGAATTAATTGTTGCTCAGAGGTTTCCACCCTGCAGTTTTCCTGCGGGCCTGTGGGTGTCGCTGTTTGACTGCTGCTGTTTTTCTCCTCTCCCAGGAAGGAGTGACGTCTATGACGAGCCACTGGAGCCGCCTGTACTTCATGACTTTTTACATTGTTACGATGGTGAGCGAAGTTTTTGTTATTTTGCATATTTCTCTTTTGAGTTCGGTGTGAATGTGACCATAATTTCTACTTTGTTTGTCAGGTTGTGATGACAATCATTGTGGCTTTCATCCTGGATGCTTTTGTGTTCCGCATGAACTACAGTCGCAAGAACCGGGACTCCGTGGACAATCCAGAGGGTGCATTTGAGTTACTGTGTAGTATTCAGAAAGTGGTATTTTGCATGTTTAATGTACATACATACAGGATTTAAGATTTTCTTCATTCCCACCCCCCCAATCTGTTGGTGTTTAGTAAGATGGGTCAGTTTAATGTGTGTGATTGTGTTGCAGATGAAAATGGGATAGTGTTCGATGTAGAGGTGAGGAGAGATGAAGCGTTGACCACCCTGGAGTTGTACAAACAGACATCGCCGACACTGTCTTCGCTCAGCTCTCTGGCTGCTGTCCTGCAAGCTATGGACAAGAGTGGGGTAAGAACATGAGCTCTAGACCTTTCGTCCTCTCCATCCCACCATGCTAATCTGTCTCATTCCTTTTTTGTACAGCACACATTTCTGGTTTACTTGGGACGAAGATCAAGAACAAAGAGTGACCTTAGTATGAAAATGTACGAGGAGGAAATACAGGTGAGAAACTGAAGGCATTGTGCTGGATCCTTTAAAAATGCTCACACTTCAATGGGTAGTTTTGTAATTTGATCTGACAGGCCAATGCAAAGGCGTACGTCATTGTAAAGTGGAAGGAAAATGTTGCACCAATTCTGCAAAGTATTGACCCCTACTGGCTGATTAGTAGTGCATGCCACACTTTTCAGGTTATTTCTAAAAATGACCAAAACTACATATTTTTCTCTCCTTCCGCATCAGAATTCTGCACTAGTTTGTGTTCAGTCACATAGCATCTCAAAATACTTTGAAGATTGAGGATGAACTGTTGAGAAAATGTTAATGTTCAAGGAGTGTAAATACTTTTGCAAGCTGTGCTTGGTGTGTAATCGGTTTTGCCTATTTTCATCAGGAGTGGTATGCAGAGTATTCAAGGGAAGGTTTGCCTCAAGAAGATGAAAACCTAAACCTGGATCACAACAGTCCCGTCACCAATCCGGCTCCCATCCAAGAACGTCAGCTAAACTCACAGAGAGAGCGTCACAGCATCAACTAAAAACGACTGTAGTGAGATGTATATGCACGTGATCTCAACAGAGGAAACCTCAGCACCTCCAGTTCCCTCAACCTCACCATAATACCCATCGTGGGGGTATAAAAATCTGGAGCCTCTTGAACTGAAGTTGGCGAGAGAAAATGACGCTGTTTTCTTCCCTGAGCTGATTGAAGTGTTGATACACTTTCAAGTGTCCCCTAAGCAAGCTACTACCATTTCTTTGCGTATTTAACAATTATAAATTAAATCTGTTGCCTTAGTTTAACAGTTTCTCTGATTAGTATTAACACACAGTACTTATGTTATGTACTTTGATCAAGAGAACACTAAACACTCCTTAAAGATCAGTCCAACCACTTACCATGTAAAAGTTTTCTCCTAAATGACTCAGCAGGTTCCGATATTTTATATAAGCTCTCAATCTGTAATGTACTTGAAAGTAACAGCAGATTTTAATAAACTATTCAAATAATGAAACACATGAATGCATTGTTGCTGTGTTGTCATCATGATGGCAATTGAATAAACAAAACTAGCAGTTTGTTTTTTTTCTGAGAACCCAGAAAACTTTTGTTTAAATTCAAAAAGAGGTCGAGTCATAGAAAATTTACAGTATTTTACATAATGACCTTGTACAACATGAGCTGGATCCTAATATCCCAGCTCCAAGACATGGAGAGAGAAACAAATAAAAGGCACAATGTGATTGGTTTTAGTCCACCCTGAGCTCTTGTAGGAGTCTTTAGCTACTTAGTTTCACAGACTAAACACAGGAGAGTCCGATCAAGTAAATGCAACAGAGTACATTACTGCTTATTTTTACAAGCAGAAGATGACGTCACCGCTATGAGCTCAAGTGTGGATTATCCCAAACTCTGTGAGAAGTGCAATGAGAAGAAATATGCAGTAGAAGATGAGGAGGAAGATGCCGTAGGACCGACCCAAGTGGAACTGGCTGAGCGGAACGATGAGAAAAGACAGGACCAAAGACAAACCCAGAGCTCCTGCAAGAATCCACGTCAACAAGCCCTCCGACTCAAACTGCGGACGAAAACAAGAGAATCAGCTTCATACCGTTCAAAACGCTGTCTCTCAATATCAAAGGAGAGGATTACCTGCACAGAAGAGTGCGTTTCATACATCTGCATCAGACATCCCGACCCGACTCCAAACAGCATGTCTGATATACAGTCAAGGTCCCATAGTTTTCCTTTTATATAAATATATCCATTTAAAACATGTTTGATGTCGTTCAGCGGATAAAGTATTTCCAATACATTAAGGAGCAAAAAATGACAATGATAAAGCAGGTTTTGATGTTCAATAAAACAGGCTATTACAAGTTAAGCTGCTATTACAAGGCATTACATGGAAACGCCATTATTTACTCCAGGAGTAAATAATGAACTTTGATATTTTAAACTTGTTATTAAACATAACAGCTGGCTGAACTTGACTTAGAAAAAATATTAAATCTTGCCATTTTTATTTGTTCTTGCAGCATCTATAGAAACTGATGCTTTTACTTTTTTTGTCCTTGGCATAATGTTAATGTTTCATCTTTCAGCTATCCAATATCTTTAAACATGCTTAAAAAGTACTAAGTATAAACATCACTACCTCACATGAATCATTTGAACAGCTTCTTTCCCCATTTTTTTCAAATAGTTTCAAAGTAATAGTTAAAAAAAATCCCCAGCATATTTATGAATCTTTATCACTGCCCTGGATTAAACAACTCCTATTCATTTTACTGTTTTTTTTTCTTGTTTTAAATAAGGCTAATTTTTAAAAACATTTACTTTGTTCAGAATTCAGCAGAATACTCCATAATTCTATCCCTGAAAATAACCAAACTTAAAGGCGCTAAATTTCCGTTCCAAACTTAAATTCTGTCCCTTGTCTCTTTCCAAAAATGTTTTCAATGCATGTCAGAAAGATGTGTACGTCTTCAAGTGGACATGAAAATAAAGGATACTGAAAATGATCCCTCCAAAGCAAGCAGCTATGGCCATGCGTGGGTATCCCTGCCGGGCAATGGTGATGTCAGAAAACAGGTCTGAAACAGAGAGCATCAGTCACACATCAGACAGTTAAATGGGAATTAGATTTATTCTTGTGAACAGACTTGGATTATCAGAAATCACCTCCGATGCTGTTGCCCCAGGCCAGAAGAGTCAAGCCCAGCACGGTGTTGCTGAGTCTCAACACCACACCGAGCATGTGCAGAAGACTGACCACCTCTGACGCTGCGGCACTAATCAGCACCGCGCTCACCGCAAAGCCCAAAAATGCAAAAAGCTGAGGGAACAGAGAGGTAACAAGTCAACATAATAAAGCAGAAAGTATTTAAAAGCAAAAAATGTCATACTGAGGAACAAATAAACGTACCAATTTCAGTCCAATAAATTTTGTAAACGATAACGTACATTAAAAAACAATTCCAGTTATTAAACAACACAGTTAAGTGCAGCTTAATTCATAAATAGCGTTCAGTCCAATGAGGGTGATGTCGAGTCACTGATTTGCAAACATTACATCCTCCTGAGCGAACATGTAGCAGCAATAGACAGTTGATTGCATTGAGTCATGAATTTTGCAGTAATCCCGCAAACTGAGACGAAAACTACCAGGATTTCCAAACAGGTCTCTACTACTGTAGACTTTGCTACTGCAGTAACCACAACCGCTTCACACCAATCACAAAGTATTTGTCAAACATCCCACAAAAAAAAAAAAAAAGGTCCTGGTTAGAAAAAGTATCAGCAGAAAAGAACTGCCAACTAGGGCTTAAATTGCAGAAAATGTTTATTTTGTTCTCCCAAAGTACTTATTGGCATTTAATGTATGCCTATACATAAAAAGCGTGTTGTAGCCATGTAGCCATGTGTCCAAAACCAGAAGAAAACATGTGACAAGACTTTAATTGCTATTGATGGAAGCTCACTGTCCAGTCTGACTGTATTTGAGATGTTTTGCAAACATAAAAGCCCAGGATATTAACCTCCAACTGGGCAAAGCGAGTAAGCATCCCCCCCAAAGATTTACAGCTGCTACTGAAGTAAACACTGGTTCTACAAATTAATGCAAATGCACACCACACTTTCCAAATTATGATTTGACAAAAGATTTAAACATCTTACAGTTATAGCTACTTTATCAAATAACATTTGAATGAAATGCACAGTTGTGGTCGTAACCTGAAAAGAGAGCAACGGCTACTTTTACAAGGCATTTATAAATATATACCTTTCACATATTTAATCCGACCGATTTCTTTTTGTCTTTCCTGTTTTACACAAATATAATTCTATCCACTCCTGATTTGGATTAACAAAAGCACTTACAGGGTGATATTTGGGAGGATGGTCATTGGCAGTGGTGCAGAAAACGATAGCAGCCACAAACATTCCCAGCAGGAGAATCAGCAGCCAGACAGGAAACTCCCCCTGGATCATGACGCCTCCATCTGGATTACCAAGAATCAGTATTTAGACGACATAATTCTTTATTTAGACTACATAATTCTTTTGTAATGTCATCAATTAATTGTGTCGAAAAGTGCTCACATGCTCCAGACTGGAAGACGAGGACACACAGCAGAGGAGCAGTGATCATATGGAGGGAGTTGAGCGGTCTCCTCCAGTTTCTATCTTCTTTATCCGGGTCCACCACAGGGACGCAGAGCAGGAGCAGCACCTCCAGTGGAGTCTTACAGCCAGATGACAGGAACGCAACATTACATCACCGACAACAAATCGGAGTTCTTCCTGTTGCTCTGTTCACCAGATTTGTACGGACCTTCACTACTTTAACAACTTTCCAGGTCCACGGTTTCCTTCTCCACTTCCTGTTGTCCACCGGATTCAAAGAACTCAGCAGGATTTCACTTGTGGACTCAGAGTAGGGCAGAAGCGGCCTGTACTCAGATTCTACAGCAGCAGCACAATCGCCTGTCTTTATATGGTGTGAATCACGCAGGAAATAATCGGTGGTGCCCATGCATTCTTACCGTATTCCTCCTGGATCGTCCCGCCTCTCATGCTGGGAACATCGTCATCATCAGAGGAGTCAGACGAGTTCAGCTCTGCTTCAAGGAAAGATACTCACCAGTAAAATAACAGCAGAAAGAAAACGCACGTGGAGCATTTGAATATAAAGGTCTAACCTGGAATCTGTGGAGCGTGTTGGATGTCGTTTGTAGCAGAATTTTTTTGCCGGTTATAGATGCATGAACTGATAAGAACGGTCAGAACATAAACCAGATAGAGAAACAGGTATCCTGGAAAACAAGAAGAGAAAAACAGAGTCAGTCAGACCTGTTTGTACTTCTGCAGTTTCGATAATTGAATGGAAATGTTTTTTTAATATAATAGCTAAAATGTCTACAAATACCAGCAAGTGGTCAAGCAGAGCTTTGCTTAGACTTGACATGTCTAAACAGGGATCAGATCTGCATTTGTGTGAAATATGGCATAAAATATTTAGAAAATATACAATGTCATTTCATCTAAGGTCTGAGCATTTTAAAATTTGTCTCATTAACTTTTTAAAAACTAAAATATGATTTTGACCACTAAGTTTTCGTCTAAGAGGTTATTTTTTTCAGCTTCTCAACACTGAATTGCATGTTTGAAATCCACCTCCAGTGTTGAGAAACTAAACTACAAGGCTGGCATTAAAAGCATGGCTGGGTGACTCTGAAGAATACTCAGATGTTGATTATATCTGTCTGTCTTGGCCTTGGATCTGGAAAAAAGCCAACAGTGCAAAGATATTCTTAATATATATGGTATTCTCTTTAATCAAGTCTCATTTGGGTTTAAATGTTTCTGGAACTGACATAGACACCCAACAAATGGTCTTCTTCTGGTGACATGTTGATCGTATCAGTGGCTCTATTAACTGCAAATTCCTAACTTGTGTTGTAACTTTAGACAAATCCCTGAATATTCTAACAACTAAACAAACCAGACAATCAGGTAACGTGCTGACAGCAGGTTGAGAGACTCCAGATTAGGCTCTCTGCTTCTGAACCTGCTGGAGGTTCTCTTGTTAAACAGTGACTCATTGAATGAACATGACGGAAAGACTTGTAAAATAATTAGAATATCAACGTTACTGCATGCATTGCTGGACATTAAAGCGGGTGTTGATGCTTTTGGTTGTGCAAGCAGGACCAAAATAATAAGAACATATAATAAGACCAAAATCAGCATCTTGATAATGTCTGTCCCATTTTTTTCTTCCACTCAATTTTCCATTAATATAAATGGATACAGTAACCAGCCTCTTTAGCAACTTGTCAACCTGTTTGCTGAACTCCTGCCAACTCAGTAATCTTCCCATGACTGTGTTGACATAACATTTCTGTATTAAGAACCTTTCTTTATATTTTTTTTAATGTCCCAATCTTCTGAGAAACATTTAAAATGTACCGAGAGCCACCTATCCACTCAAGACATCCCCTCAGACTGTTTGTGTTTACCCAGTGTCTCTCCCAGGGTTGTAGTGCCTCTGTAGAGGATGTCAAAGGTCCAAAACACTGCAATCATGTAGAAGACGACATCACGCAGAAACGGACGAGAAGCCACGGCAAATGGTTTCACCAGTGCGACACTTCCTGCAACCACTGTGGTGACAAATATACCAGCTCCTGCAAGGACACACATGTTTTCTCATTTAAATACTTTTGTTAACTTAGCTTTCTGCTTGTCAGAGAAATAACGAGCCTCCGTGTACCAAACAGGGCTCCGACAGCCAGCCCAGCAGTGTGCGGATGGGAGATTGCTGCCATGGCACTGAAGATGTCTGGAGCTCCATTTCCCAAAGCAAGAAACGTCACACCCTCAGCACATGTTGCAGTCAAAGAAACAGTTCACCACCAAGCATACGCTGATTACTGGTATCAAGTTCTACCAAGGTTTTAAAAAGCGCCACTTTAAGAGCAACAAAATGTCCAGCTAAACAATTCTTAAGACTTAAAAGTCATGTTAAAGGGATCCCAGGAAATGTACCAGAGTAACACATTAGCATGGAGCGTGGCGTAATGTCATATTGCTCTTTTCACGTGTTGCTGTCCCCTGACGGTCAGCTGGCAAAATAACGGTAGCTGCACTTGCAAGAAAGTCAAATTTTACTGTTCTGAAATATTTTCAATATCAAAAAACACAAAGTCTTGGTGAGGAAATTGAGCTGTCAATAGGAGGAGGACATCTGTAAATCGGACGACTGCAGGCTAGTTGTTGAAGAAGACTGCCTAATTAATATCAATGTGATCTCAGTGTAACTCTATAAAGAGCAGAAGTGCAAGAAGATTTTATATTCTGAGAAACATGCAGATGTTTATTCAACAGGATTTCTTATTTTGATGGATAAAACCAAAATAAATAAAACATGTTAGATAATTACATTATTAAATTATGACGTCAGATTATTTTAGAACAACCAGAATTGTAATGTCTTGTTACTACAAGACATTACATTATAATACCTTAAATTATAGTTTAAAGTATTTCATACTGGACTTGTTCACATAAACACACAGAAACATGATTATCAACATAATTAAGTTAGAAAAGGAGACCAAATACTCTCTGCACACTCTCAAAAGAAGTGGAGAAAGGATACAGCCACGTTGTGAGAGCAGCGAAGAGTGGAGGAGATGGCCGACAGGTTGGGGCAAAAACTGGGGAGGGGAAAAAAAAAACATAATAAAATGTATTTATAAATGTTTCTTTCAAACTTTCAACAACTGGCTGAACAGCGGCACAGTGTTACAACAGGTAGGATAAAACCAAGTGCAGAAATATCTGCTTCCTTTCATAGATTTAAACCCATATCTGAATAGTGAAAGCTGTCTACAGTCATGGGACTCATGTGACCATAAAGCTGACAGGGCTAAGAGTGTATATATGTGTGTGAAGTGAGCTCACGAGCCCTTTCACTATCTGAAACTGTGAGCAGCCAGAGGAACATGCTGCTGAGAGATACTTACAACTTTGAGGCAGCAAGTCCAAGAATGAGAAACAAGACGAGCAGCCAAACAATCTGCAGGGACACAGTGAAGACAAGCTGCTGTTATGTTTGGTCACACTCAGTTTTCTCAAATGCAAACAGGAAAGTGGTTCCTATTCATACTGAATAACTGGTTAACTACACACTGTTTACCTTTTTTTTTAAAGTCATTATAAATTACCCTTCTCAACAGGATTATTTCTGTTGACACAATCATCACTTGTTCAGTTTTTCATGTGAGACAGTTTCATTCTTTCATTTACTGGAGGAAGTGAAGATACCGAGGAGTCCAAGTGAAATTACACGATTTAGCCAACAGTGAAACTACAGTTATAAATCAGAAACCAGTCCCACTTCTTCCACAGTCAACAGTCAACTTCCTCATGATCTGCTGATGATTTTCCTGTTGCTTTATGACTCTGCTTCACGTGCAAATACACACACACACACACACACACACACACACACACACACACACACACACACACACACACACACACACAGATGTATGCACAGGTCTTACACAGAGGGTGATGGTGAGAGGAGTGAGGTTGGGAGGCAGCAAGCAGAAGGCCAGTCTGAGGTAGTTGATGAAGCCGTCCTCCATGGAGCAGTCCGGCGTCCTCTTCACGAACGCACATCGCTCTGCAGCGCTGTAGTTCATCACACGGTCACACTGCACAAATAAACAACTTTCTTAACATGTAGACAGGAGCACTGGCATCAGGATGAAGTAAAAGTATAAGGAACTGCATCGCTGCGAGTTTCACCATCAAAACTGATTTATTAATTCTATGACAAAAAAAGTGCAACACAAAGCACATAACGCAAATGGTAGTAGCACTTTAGCCTAAAAACAATATGTTGTGTGATGACCAGCTCTAGCTGTGATAATCACATTGTAAAGTTTCTTAAGTACAAATGTAATCAGTCACTGAAGCATATTTTGATCTGTATTCTTTAATTCAGTAACACTGGAAAGCCAGTCCAGAATCTTCATATTTTTAACTATTTGGATCACAGTCCTGCTGCATAACCAAAGCACTGTAAAGTTATTAGAGGTCATAAGTAAATGAATGGATGTTTTCCTTCAGCAGATCTCATGGCTGCATCAGTTATGGCAAGTCCTGATCTGCCTAAGTATTTCAGGTCTTTGAAGAAATGCAGTCAACAGCCTGAATAAATTCGTTTATTCAGCAGGATTGCACTATTCTGATTGGATACCAACTTCAGTGCCATTAATGCAAAGTACTTTTAGAATGCATCAAGGGGAATCTGTTTACCTCTGGGCATGTAAAAATAAGTGGCTGTGCCGCCCCCCATACGGTGATGCCCTGGGCAGCGAGTCACGTTTCCCGTAATATATATATATATATATATATATATATATATATATATATATATATATATATATATATATATATATAAACAACTTTAAATTTGTGAAATTAAAACAATTTCACCAAGGGACAACACAAAACTATTTTTAAGATCAAGCTGCTCTTGAGCTTGTTTTTAATAGTTTATTTATAACTAGAGACATGATTTTCTGGAAAAAGGACCATGCACCTGCATAACGAACACGTCATCACAGAAAGCGCTTCCTCCACACCTGTCGCCTCACATTAACCAGGTGACGGCTGAGCGTAAACTGCAGGTATTTATTCTGTCAGTTTGTTTCCCTTCAGAAAACCAGTGATCGAGTCTCACCCACCTCGTCGCTGCTTCCAGACATCGTGGCAAAACCTGTCGCTCCAGCTAATCCGACGCCGGGCTGGGTGCTGGAGTTCCCGGCGCCCGAGACGAGCAGCTGGCCGCCGGGCGACAAGGCCAGCAGCAGAGCCAGGAAACCACTGACAGACATGGGGATCCACTGCTTATCCTGGAACCGCGTTCATACTGCCGCTGGTGGATTAACGGGACCCTGGTGGAGCCCTCCTGTCTGTTTTGATTAAACCAGAGAAGCTGCAAGAACAATCTAAAAATAGCAGCTTTGTTGTTGTTGTTGTTTATCTTCCTGCAGCCGTCCTGCGCCGCGCTGACACTGGCTTGTTTGTGAACACTGAGCGCTAAGATTCGGTGAACATTAGTTCACCTTCCTCTGCAGCTCCTCCCACCGTTTCTGCAGACCCGTGTTGCGTTCAATGACTCGTCGAAAACACCGAGATGCGACCTTTGAAATGGGAAAAACGTCAAGCTGTCAATAAAATGTAATAAATTTTTTTTAATGCTCCTGTCATTTTTTGTCAAGCAGTTTCAAAATGCTATTTTTTTTTTCATCACAAACTTCTGAGGCCTTTACATTTTTTTTCTCACCTGAAATTACACACAATTTGAGTGTTTGCCAGTTGTGAGATTAGCAGAAGGCAATTTCTTGTTGTTCTGGATTTCATTCAGAAATAACAGAAAATAAAGAAATAAAGTTGCACCAAACTAGGATTTTCAAAACTGTAGTAGACTTTTAGTACTGTGTATTCATTTATGCAAGTTTGTTAGTCATTAACTATTACAAAGTTATGATGAACACAACTTTGGGTTCATCATAAAATCTCAACAAACAAAGCATTAAGATTTGTATTTGTAAAGAGATAACGAGAATATTTTTCCAGGTTACTTTATTTGCAGATTTAATTACATATTTTTCACTCAATATGCATAAAGAACTGAAAAATAAAAAACAAAAATGAATACTTTTAGTGTTGAATTTTTACAAGACTTTTTATTGCATATTCAAAATACAAAGTTGTGCATCTTTTGTCATCATTCTCAATATGCTTTGTGTGCATCTTTTGATATAATTTATTATGACAGGGCATAAAGGAAATATGAATCAGGTCATGTAAATATCAATATTATCCTTATTATGTATTATTAATAAGAGCACACTTTTTCACACCCGAACTAGGAAACATGCCTCATGCATTTTCATCAGTCACAGTCCTTCTTCTATTGCATCTGTTACCTAAGCTTTGCTTTTTTAATAACTGCTAATTGAGTAAAACCATGGCAGAAAATCATGACTAATACTATCAAAAAGGTTAGTATCCTAAAAACAGAAAGATTTATTATCTGGAACGTCATTCTTGATGCGATTATGGAAGGCAGAATTTTCTTTATTAATAGTAATAATACGCTCACTACACCAGTTCAGACCATAAATCTATCAGCATATGAAGGATGTTCACTTTTGAATAAGGTTATCATAAACCAGTGCAGCATCCATGGATGCACTGCTGGATTCATAGCAGCCTCTCTTCTGTTTAGATGCCACCAGACACAGCTCCTGTTCACACCATCTAATAAAGCAAAACAAACATGATGAATGAACATGCAATATGTGCTTATTTTGAAAATGAGTTTTAATCAGTCGGTTTTTGGTTTGACATACCTGAGAGCTGCATAGGTGTCATTTGGGGAGGCATCTTTCCAGCATGCATGGTCAATGAGAAGAGCACCTGTTAACGCACGGTGAGGAAAGCCACTTTAAAGCACTGATGTAACGCCAAGGATTATTAGATCAATGCAGCAGTAGAAATTTATAATAAGATATGTATTGCTCTGTCATGCACAGCTGCTTGCAAAACATTTGAGGCAAATTGTGAAGCAGAAGGAAAAATTACAGTTTTTTTCTATTTAGAAGAAATCTGAAGAGTGTGGTGTGCATTTGTATTTATAAAAATCAAGGAGTGCAAACAGTTGCCTTCAGGAGAAAAATCAGAATAGGATACATTCAAATTTGTCGTCCTGATTTTACAAAATGCAAACGGTTCTAGTAGTGTGAATGCATTTGAACAGAACTGAAGTTGTTGCATATCTGGCGTCACAAGTGCTTGTGAAACTCTCACCCGCATATATGCGAGCCAGGCTGTATGCCAGGTCTCTGGCTGCCAGTTCCAGGTAACTGGGTGATCTGGAAGCGGCTATCTGAACAAACTGCTCCAGTTCAGACAGAGCACCACCAACTGCTTTTACAGCCGGGTCCAGTGAGGAAACACCCGAGGCACCCGCAAGCAGCGACTGCAAGAAAACGGCCACAGCTGCTTCACCTGCTTCCAATAACACACCTTGCCCAACAGGTTCTGGTATCCACTCCGTACCTTGACGTGTGCAAAGTAAGCATGCAGAACCATTCCTGAACTACGGGCCACGCAGCGCAGCACATCCAGAGACAAAACATTTGTTGTTCCTTCCCATATACTCAACACCTGCAAGAGAATCAATATGTGAGTTTCGAAAATCAGAAAAAGGCAGAAAAAGGTGGTTGGTAGCAACGCCACCTGGGCATCACGGAGTATTCCAGGCATCCCAGTGTCTTCGATGTATCCCTGTCCGCCAAAGCTTTCCAGGCCCTCAGACACAACAGCCACAGCCTGAGAGAAACACATAGGTCAGATACTCGGAATAGTGAGATCAAAAATCTGGTTTTATATTTGCAAAAGCAGCTCACCTGCTTCCCGGTGTACAGTTTGACCACAGGGGTGAGCAGACGAAGGAGGTGCAGGTCGAGCTGGCTGGCCAGGCCGCTCTCCTCTCGACCCAACAGACGGCACACATCCATCACAAGAAGAAAAGCTGCACGCGTCTCCACCTGTTCAAACCAAAACACATGGAAGAAGGTCCTCTGGTTAGGTAAGAGTCAAACTGAAACTTTTTGGCCCACATGCTGAAGGCCGTGTTGAGCAAAAATCTAAAACTGCAGCCCAAATGCAACATATCTATGATGATGAGAAGGTGGTGGCACCATTATGCTGTTCGGATGATTTTTTTAAAAGCAGGACAATAAACCTCACCATCTAAAAAAAATAAATAAATTAATTCACATTCAAATTCAAAAGTATTTAATTATTCCCAAAGGGAAATTAAATAATTTGACAACTAATTTAGTTATGTTCTGGAACACTATCCAGGAATTACCTAAGAACACACAAAGCAAAAAGTGACAAAATCTGAAAAAGTTCAAAATATGTGAATTTATTTGTGTAAGTTATTACATTCCACCTCTGCTGCCTTACCTCCATTCTTGCAAGCGTCTGCATATGCAGTGGGTGGTCTTTAAGAAGCTTTCCGAAGGCGGTGCGGCGGGTGGCATAGTCACGCGCCAACTGGAGCACTCTGTGAGCAGACACATTTAATCAGCTTACTGAGGAGAGGCCTCCACAGAGTCAGAACTCAGGGATAGGATGTGGGGTCCTGCCTTCTCATCGCAGCGGCTGCAGAGACGCTGTTGTGAATCCTGGTTATTGTCAGCATGTTGGCTATGGAGGCCACGCCTCTGCCTTCCTCTGAGAGCTGGTGATAGAGGAACAATATCTGGATCAGACAGAGCAGCAAAGCAGCACGAGAACATGAGGCGCTGCATTACGAATGAAAAATAGTTACAATAGAACAGAAGCAAGAGCACTCAGCCTGAGAGTCAAAACATAGAAACCCAAATATTCAGGAATGATCTCCTGCTCCTCACATTGACCACGATAAAATATTTAAGTGTGATGTTCAAATTGCAGATAAGCCCAGCATGTTTGGAGCTGCTTACAGTTAAAAGCTCAAAGCTAAGGAGATTAAATAAAATTGATTTGAAAAGTAGTGCAAGTCAAGGCAAACGTTAGAAATTCCAGTTTGGCACCATTATGCTGCACAGCATTTACAGTTTGAAATAAAGGATAATTTTCTTTCTGAAAACTGGGTTTCTGGGTTAGAAACAAATGATAAAATCCACAAAAGTTTTTCTGAATCAATAAAAGAAAGTTCATGTTAGTGGAATTTTAGACCATAGTTTCTTTGAATAATTTTTATATCTGGAAAAAAGATATTAATATCATTTTGCAGCAACAGCTACATTTCTGAGAGATTTATTGTATTTGCTCTCTGCTAGGAGTTATGGAGGGTTTAGATAGAGGTGGAGAAATCTTTTATTTTGAATACTTTAAAGGTCTTTGTTAAAGTGCACTGATGAGTCAGAACATTGGTTTCCATACTCACAGCAAGAAACCCAAGTATGACGTAGTGACTCTCTGTCTAGTTAGAACAGGTCAAACTGAATGAATACTGAACATGTCTGCTTGTTGTTCTCATCCTTGCAAGAATTAATAAAGTGCTGCTTGAGTGAAAATCAAGCAAACGCCACTGACTCTGTATGCAGGCAGGCCGTCCAGCAGCAGCTCAGCAGTCGGCATCTGTCGTGTCCCCAGCTTGTCCTTCAGTCTCTGGACTTCAATACCCCTCAGGCGGCCGTCCTCAGATCGACTCACCTCTGCGTAAAAAAGAGACAGCCCCCTGCTGCCCTGCGGACAGAGACAAGGTCTGCTAGAAATGGTGCATTCACTGACTGCAGGGTGACGTTGGTGGGAATCTGCAGTACTGGGGTTGTTGATCCAGATCGGTCCTGAACTCTTGCCAAGGTGAGAGTCATGTCTGCGTCTGTGGCCGACGTGAACCACTTGAAGCCGTGTAGTCTATAGGAGCCGTCTGCTTGGGGAACGGCCACCGTCTCCGTGCCAGTGCCTGAAGACATAGAGAAACGGAGATAAATAAGAGAAGAGTTTTATTTGCCATTTTGAAAAATTCAAACTCAGTGGGAGAAGATTCCTGAGTCCTGGCATTATTAGATAAGTAGATATTTAAATAAGTTCCTATGCTGTTAATCGTACAGTGGGATCTGGGTGATTCATAAATATGCAGGAGTCATTCTCCTGAGTTTGAATTTCATGCCACCGCTCCGTTGCAGACAGTGCCCCCTGTTGTTCAACTGTAGAATGAAGGCAACACTGATTCACAGCAGATCAACGCATTTCTACTGACCCACATCAGATCCTCCCTGTCTCTCAGTCATCCACTGTCCAGACGTCCAGAAACGCTCAGGCTGTCGGCTGGTCAAGCGACGATACGCTTCTTCCGCTGGCGGCGAAATCCCTACAGACTTTATAAACACAGACACTCAATCCCTGACTGATCTGATAACTTAGCAGATTTTAAATTTACTGAAATGAGTTTTGCTTTGATGCAAGACATTTCCTTCAAATTCTAAAAGCTGCAGAAACATGTTGGAGTTATTGTTGTGGGTTTAGTTTAAGTGTAAATAAATAGGGGAACGATTAATTGTTTTTAACATTACGCAGCCTTGCTGAAAACCTTATTAAGACAAATTGCTGTGCAAAAATATTCATACTCACATCCGTTGAACTTTTTCA